CCTCCAGCGAAGACTTCAGGTAAAGCCCATCTGCAGAACAGCATCATCGCCTGTAACACCCCATGTTCATGTCTTTGCCGTACTGCAAATAGTCAGAAGTACACTGAAGTCCCTTCAAACGAGAAACCATTGTGAAACCATGGAATTCCATTTCTGGAATACCTAGGCATTGGACACAACTACAGAGCTCAAATAACATATTAAAGATAAACTATTCTATTTGAATTTGAACTCTGTTTTCTTTCTTGCTAATACTTGTCATTTCTGTATTGACTTAAGTCTTCATGTAGAGAAAAGATAATTTAAAATCTATTAAGCAATTTTAAATGGACATCTTATCTTTCCACAAGCTCTGTAACGGAGTTGTTGCGCTATGTTACAACTAGGGAAACGTAAGAATAAAGAGTGACTTGTTCGTAGCTGCTGAGTTCAGCATCAGCTGACACCAGGATTCCAGACTTCTGGTCTAGTGAGCAAGCCGCTACCTGTGTTTCTAATGGGCCAGAAGTCACAGAGTTACCTGTAAGCCACAGAGATCACAGTAGTCCCCCTTCTGGAAGCAGGTGGTTCTGTACTTGTTCAGAGAAACAAAACAGTAACATTTGCTTTTTACTAAGGATTTCTTCTTGTTTTTTAAAGCCTCTCCTTGCTGGACACTAATTTACCGGCTGAAGCAGAGACTGAACTGCGCAGTTTTATCGCTAAGCGTCTTACTAAAGGAGCCCTGTTTGAAGGAATGGGGAATGTGGCATCAGTGGCACTGAGGTAAACTTAAAATGTTATTTGTGAATAAGAAACTGTGAGAAGCACTGGCAGCATTGCACATCTTGCCATCTGCTGCACTTGGGTTTAATCCTGATTCCATGTTCTCTCTATCAATGCTGTTAATAACAGCTTCATGCAGTGGCACTACCCTCTTTTTCTAGGTAGCTTTGAGAAAACTATTGTTGTAAATAATTTTCTGTTTGAATACTTAAAAATACTACATGTGCTCATGGCTACTTCCTTTTAAACTACTGGGATCACACCACAGAGTTAAAAAGAGAAAGTCTGAGAGCTATATATTTGATCATAGGAACCACCAGTGCTACCCAGTGAAAACTGTTTCTGTAAGTAAGTCACCTATGTCTGATTTTTGCACTTATTTATTGTGATGTATCTATAACAAAATAATTTTTTTTTTCTCACATAGCATACCAGAATATAAAGTTGGTTGTTATTACTGTCGTTTCCAACAAGAAAATATTCTAGAAATGGCTACACTGGAGTCAGACATCAATGTTCCAGAATATGTGGTTTGTTTCTTAGGTGGTTCAGAGAAAGGTCTAGAACTATATCCTTACCTTTAACTGTATCTGTGTGGAGAGGGAGGTGATGTAAAAATTATGTTCCCATTTTGTCCGTTTCCTGCTTGAAACCGGCTCATTTGTGCACACCTTCCAATAACTGAAAATGTCAGTAACAGCCATTACTGAAAGGGAAAAATGCAGGTCTTAAGTGATGCACCTCATTTTCCTTAAGAAGATACTTTCAGACTTGAGCTGGACAAATACATTCAAAGTCTGAAGATAAACCTTGATTTGGAGGTAAGGCCTACCTTTTTTTTCTTAAAATGGTGAAAATGACTATTTACACAAATTAATTATTACCATAATAATACAGTTCTATTTCCTAAAATGCCCTTCATTGCTGATCAAGTGCAGCTTTAAATGTCAAACTCATTATTATTTTGGTTTACTGTGGTTTGAAATCAGGAAGAGACTGACATCCAAATATCTCAGGTTGAATAATTAATAGGCTTCTATTTGTGTAGAAATCTAATTTGTAGCTAAAGTTTTAATGTTTCAACTTATTACAGCAAAAACCTTTGGAGACCTACGTTAACCCCTACTTGAGAAGCTGGTTTGAGAATGCCATATGCCCTATTCAGAGAGTGGTACAGCTCTTCCAGGAGAAACTTGCCTTTTTGTTGCACGCTGTAAGTGTCTTCAAACTGGATCACTAAAAGAGGTTCAGAAGCAATCTCAGTGACTCCAGCATGTTTAAAAGGCTTCTTGCATTTGCTTTCCCAGCCAGGAGTAAATGAGGAACAATTTTTTTCTTCTATGTTTTTTTAATTCAGTGCAAGTCCTTTTTCTCTGCTTTATTGCTAAGGAAGCACACACCAATTTCTTCTGTCATTTTTTATAGTTAACTCATTTTAAATTATGTAGTACTGTGCAAGCTGAAATTAGAATGAGAAAATTAGAAACAGCATGAGAAAGCTGTCACTGCTATAATTCCTCTGAACCAAAAGGGATGTTACATTGTGGATGTGCTTCATGTAATTCACCAGAAACAAAATAAACTACTAGCTCTAGTCCCTGAGTTTGAGGCAGCTTTGGATGGAATAGCTAATGGAGTATAACTGCTGTATGTCTTCTGAATGTAAAACCAGATGCAATGACTATATCTTTTCTTTTAAGGCTTTGAGTTATACTCCTGTAGAAGTGAAAAATGCAGATGAAACAACAGAAAAAGACATCAGCAGGTAAAGATACTTTGAGACCAAGGAACCTGTGAGTAACTTGGCTTTTGTGTATGACAGCTTGCTGTCCAGGAGGTGTAAAGAAGTAAGCAGTTCACAAGACCTTTTTCTGCCAGGTTTCTGGCTGCTGCCAGCCTCCAAGGACTTGTTCAGGAAGGCACCATGACCTCCTTGTGTATTGCCATGACTGAGGAACAGCACAAGTCAATGATTATAGACTGTAGTGGACCTCTGCCTCAGCTGCATAATGCAGGTGAGATTACAGCTGTGAATGCTTCTTCATGGTACTCACTTACTTACATCCACCAGCTGCTGGAGGTTAGAGGTAGTTGAGGATATTCAGAATCTCATAGGTTCATGCCCAGAAAGGTTGTATTCTGGCTGGAAACTGGAACAGCTGTTTTCCTGTGAGGCAGCAGTTAGTTTTACCAGACATACTGGAACTCTAGTTTGAACATGGTTGATAATAAAATCTATGGTGCATTTAACTTGCAGACCATTAAACTAAGACTTGTACACTTCTGGGAAGCTGCAAAACTGTATCCTATTGAATAGATAAATGTTCTGAAAAGGGATTCAACAATCAGAACAGACTTTTATGTAATCACTGTAGCTGTGTTTGCTTTTCTTTTCCACATGTAAGACGCATTTCCCAGCCCAGGTATACTAGTATCACTTGTTACGTGAGAGTGATTAAACCAGCTGAATGCAGCTATAGTCTATGTTGAGCTCATTTACCTTTTTTCATCTCTGTGTTTATGAACCTGTAACAGGAAGCAACAGATTCTGTGAGGACTGGATGCATGCTTTTGTGAATGGTGCAGAAGGTGGAAATCCATTTCTCTTCCGACAGATTCTGGAAAACTTTAAATTGAAGGTACATGTTCATCTATGTTAATGACTTGGAGAAGACACCAGTTACTGAGGGAGCAAATACTCCTTTTGCAGCAAAGTTTTAGGTTATTTATAGTGCCTGTACATCGTTAAATAATTAATGTTTAAGTTGACTGCCTTACTGTAGTTGACAAGACCAGACTGTAAAGTAGCGTGAAAGTTTCTTCATTGAGTACTCAAAGGCATTTTCTCATATTTAAAATAAAGCCCACCTCTTAGGTGATCTGTCACAATAGGAGAACCCCTGCTACAAATTTGGACATACCAAGTTGTGATGTCCACACATTCTGCATTGTTACAGTAACAGTGGCAATAGGTATCAAAGACAGAACCCCATTCTTACGTTACTCTTCAGTGGTAGTATGAAATTCCTATTGGAAATGCTTTTGCTTCTCCTGCTATCTTTCTTCCACTTTTCCAGATGATAGTATGATTTATTTCCATGTAGAAGGATAAGAAGAAGCTCTGTTACTCTTTTCCCAGGCTATACAAGACATTAACAACCTGAAGAGGTTTATCCGCCAGGCTGAAATGAACCACTACGCCTTGTTCAAGTGCTACCTGTTCCTAAAGAACTGTGGCAGTGGAGACATCCTTCTGAAGATTGTGAAAGTGGAACATGCAGAAATGCCAGAAGCCAGAAACGTAGTGACAGTCCTTGAGGAATTCATGAGAGAAACATCAGTGGCTTAAAACTATCGTAATTATTCTGTGCTCGTTGGAGGGTATTATATAAATTATTCATTTCTTCTGTGCAGCTTAGTTTCACTATTGCAGGATTTTTAATTTGTATTTAAAAGTGTTACCTAAGTCAAAGCTAAGTTGCAGTTTCATCTCCTTTTCTCTAGAGAAAGCAGTATGAGCTTTTTTTAATGTGTAGGTATCAGATCATACCAACTCCTGCAGTTTTCAGTGCTTACCAAATGCTCCAAACGAATTGCTTGTTGTCTGAGGAAATCATGACATTTGGTTTTTACAGTCATTGCACCAAAAAAGCAATCCCTGACCTGGCAAGCATTTTGGTGTTTTAAATCTTTTAAATATCTTTAAAATACTCGTGTCTAATCATTAAGATCTGGACTTTAGTTTTAATATCTAAAGAAGCACAAACATCTGGATAAATGATACAAAATGAATTAATCATACTTGTTTATGTAAGAGAATACAAGTAACAAGTCTGTAGCTTATTTCAACATTCTACTTTTAAATTGGCAGCTTGTTCTGCTGTCGCTAGATAAACACGCTGTGAATTGGTATGAAACAGAACTGCCTTAAGACTGAACAGAGCTGTAGGAATCTGTATGTGCTTGTATGTATGCATACATACACTGGCCAGACGTTAAATTCCCAGGCTGTTTGATAAATCCCCTTCTTCACTAGATCAAGACTACCTTTGTATGTTCTCAGTACTCACTGTGCATAACTATAAATAATCATATGTTTTTCAGTCATGGAGAATTAAACCTGAACATTTTACAGATCAAATATTAACTTTGAGTTAATAGGAACTTCTTTGGGAACTCAAGTAAACTAAGTTGCCACATTAATTATTCAGACTTTATAACATTTCGCTGTATTTCAGCAATGAAGTCTTACCTACATCATAGGACATGTAGACAGCAGAATACATGAAGAAAATCTTTGGCCACAGCTGGAATCAGAACTCCTGAGGCCTCTGAGTGACCACATAAACGAGGACTATTTCTGCAGACGTGATTGATAGAAGCAAAACTCTCCATTGCTTTCCTTTGTAGCAGAGGGTGTTTGAATGCCTGACATCAGGCATTTGGACAACTCTCCCTCAAACAGTAACTGTAACAGTCCTATTAATGCAGTTTGACTGTTCTGCCAGTGCTCTGTGCTGTGATGACAGAAGTTGAGTGCTTTCCTGTGACACCACTGTCTTGAACCTATAACAAGGTTTACAATAAAACATTAAAATCCTTAACAGTGTGCCTACAATAAATTATAAACTAGTGTTGACCTCTATGTCTCCTGTTTAAAACCCGTTATTTACCCAATGCAGAGGAGCTGCTAGTGTAGTGTCATAGTGACAGCCGAGGTGACACATGACATATATGGGCAAGTCAGAGAAGAACATGAAAGTAGTGTGAAAGAAAACAAACCCCTTATTCTCTGATGTGTAGGAGCTCTGAGAGGTAACAATTTTTCTCCTTGAGAATATTTCATTAGTGAGTGAGTGTAGCAGCACCACTCACTAAAACATGTCACCTTTGTTGGTCTTAGACATTTTTAATGAAGTTGGAGCACTGACCGTGTAGTGTTTTGTCTGATCAGGAGGCAGGGAAGAGCTCAGTGCTCAAGAAAACACTAACACAAAAGAGGTTGGGTTGAAGAACACGTAGCTGTGATCTGGCAGCAGCGTAAGAAACCATTGCACTAGTCCTGTCCTGTGCTAGGTGGCAAGTGGGGCCGGGTGTTCTATGTGCCAGACTTCATATTTACAGAGAGCAATACTGTGGTGATAAACTGCTCCTGAGATGCAGCCACAATTGCTCTGCCCAGTCTTAATCCCTGGAATTTTTCAAGAATAAACTGGTTGAAGTGCTGATCGACCTGCACTACCTCCTATAGCTGACCCTGTCCTGAGCAGGAGGTTGGACTAGAAATCAGCTGAAGTCCCTTATAACCTGAATTATCCTGTTATCCTGTGACCTGCACTACACTCACTTAAGTAAGATTTGTTTTGTTTGCTAGGTAAATTATCATAAATCACCCATCAAAATCCAGATATTTTTAACCTTAACTGTAAAACTTTGCTTAGTCTTGTTGCAGCTTCTCCTTCTCAAGGCAGCGCACTGTTCAGTATCAGTCCCAATGAATTTGTAACTCCATTACAAATGGACAGCTTCAGGCAGCTTTCTCTGTTGCAAGTTCTTTATCCTGAATTTTCCCAGCACTGCAAGTGGCTGGACTTATGACAAACATAATTTCTTGCTTTCTGCAGCCTTTGTTTTAACATATCTCATTCTGCCAGTTTTGCAGAGACTTGGCCATTAGGTTACCTGTCTTCTAAATTCAACAAGCTCACAAGTACACACACACATTGAAATACACCCTGGTAGTTCATGACATTGCAGGTTTTACTGGCATCATCCCATTAAAATTCTACTTTAAAAAAACAAAACTAAAGGAAATTAAAGAAAAGCATTATAAATAATGCAGAAGCAGCTGGTTTAGCTGCATGAATACCTGGAGAGTATTACACACTTCCTCCTGCAATCAGCTATTCAAAGCTCAGGATGAAGCACACAAAAGGACAGAAGATGCTGAGATGTGCACTTAATTTGCAAGCCTGAAAGATTTTTACGGTAGATCTAAGGGTCTGATTTAAAAGCCTTGGGGGGGGGGGAAACAACAGAAAAACCAAAACAACCAACAAACAAATGAACATACAAAACCCCCCAAAACACCCAAACACAACCCTCCCCAGGCCTAGGAATGCAAGTTTAGATTTAACTCCTTCACACCTCTTGCAGTCTGAATGATCAGGGTCTGGTTTGGGGGGTTTTTCCCCTCTGCTCCCAAGAGGAGTAGCACACACACCGACCAGTATTTCACTTTCCCACACTTAGGAGCAATGTTTATGATACAGAATATGATTTGAGCTACAGGGATGATAATGACTTTTATGAGTTTGTGTGATCAAGGATGAGTATCAAGGCTGCCAGCTTTTGGCTCCTTCTCTGCCATAGAGATCCTGGAATTGGCAGATTTATGTCCTTTAGTTTGCCTTTCTAAAATTATTTTGGCCAGCAAGAAAAATGTATGGTTCTAGCAGACAGTAACACGACCTGTATTAACTGACAAAACCCCACAAACCCACCTTACCTTCTTGCTGAAAGTCCTCAGCTAGTGAATAAAGAGATTTAAGTATCTGGAAGCTCAGTTCAGTGCAGAAAACTAACATCAAGAGCAGAGTCCCACATGAGGTAGCAATGATCTACCTCCCCTTAAGAGTAACAAATCTGACAGCACCTACTGCTATTACATCTTAATTTTTTTAAGTTACACTTTAACTCAATGTTTCCCAATAAGAACACAAAATATTTTCCAAAATAAGCCTCCCGCTTCCCCACTGGTGGAAGGATTTTTACTATCTAAAATAACTAAATCAGTTGGAGGTTTGCTGCGGAACTTCCTGGATGTCGTGTTCCCACCATTGATTCCAGAGACAAGAATCCCAGTGTTGGCTCTGAGATTTAAAGACATCCAGTAGAAACTGATGTTAAAAAAAAAGAACAACCCTCCACCCCAAGATAACATTTTAAACACTCTAATGTACTTGGTCATCAACTTTCCTGCAGTTCTGAGGCCACTACTGCACTAGCACAGCAGTTGTCAAATGGTGGGACAAGACCTGAATTTCAATACGAGTCCCAAGCCAGTTATCCTTGTTGTATCTCATGGAGAAATAAAGCAGCAGCTCACCCTCCCCTTCATCTCTTAGACAAACACTTTTAGAGAGACATAAAGGAAGAGTTATCAATGCCATTATGAGAAGATTATATTGCAGAGCTTGAAACCAATTGCTCTTTTGTTAAATACTGTGTTAAGTGTAGCCCTGCTTATAAAACTGCCTTTGAAATGCTTCCTGGTTGGTTTTTTGGCACGTAGAACAGCTCAATTTAATGTAAAAAAAGAAAAAAAGAGACAGAAAATAAACAAACAAACCACCAGCAAAAAAATTTAATGGATTCTGCACTCAAATAATATCCTTACAACAAAAATATACGGAATGTGCACGATACAAAAATATTTGGAAACATACCATAGCCTCTTACCTTGCAAATATCATTTTGTTTTACTAGCCCTTAACGGGAAAGTATCATTTGTTCAGTATTTTAAGGCAGAAAATTACGTTGTTTAGTGCTTTGTGTTTAACACTTGGCCGTGTTGGTAGCATTAGTAGTGTAAGCAAAGGAAAAGTTGCATAAATCTAGCTTTATTTGCAAACTAAACAGACACTGTGGGGGAGTCAGAAGACAGTCAGTGACTAACGTTATCTATTAAGCTCACTGGAAATTTAAGGTACTTTTACTTCTTAAATCAGACCTAGGGAATATTTTGTGCTCTGTAGTGTGAAGTACCCTGAAACATAAATTTTTCTGCATTACTACTGGCATTTCAGAAATACCTCATTAGAAAGCTTTTCCCAATTAAAAGCCAATGATTAATGGTGACACTAAAAATACATTTACCTTTAAATAAGCTTGGTTTCTGCCTTATGTGTGATTCTTTCTTTATAGAGCTGCAAAACGCACTGTTTTCCTTTATAACCAGCTCTCAGCAGCAGTGATTGCAGGAGGAATTTTTGAGTCGTAGCACAGAGCACTGCAGAGCAGCCACTGCTATAAAAGAAACACAACAGCAGCAATATTCAAAGAGGCTGAAACCCCAGAGGTGCTGCCCTTTGCTCTCTAGATCCCAGCTTACCTCCAGAGGTTGCCGGTGTTGAACTACATCCATATCCTCCAGTTCCACTTTGGGTAAAGCCAGTGGGTGGGGTTTCCAAAGCAATTGAGCTGAGCTTGGATCTATGTAAACAGACTTTGAGCTCTTTACTCACTGAAGCAGGTGTGAAAGTCCCACTGAAGTGTGTGTGAAAGGCCTACCCACCGTCCTGTGAGACTAAATATTGGCACAAAACAGCAGCTGTCTTGTGAGGTCAG